CCTAGATAATTATCTGGGTCTCGGTCACATAGTGAGAAGATCAGATCAGAAATAACTGCGAGCCACATAAATTAAACACGACCTCAACTCCGAGAAAAACTACAGCAACCGACGTTAAGAAAAATATAAGGGATCGTCGTGTAAAAAGTGGGCGAAGGCCAGATTTTGGGGAATCGACGATGGCGTGACCACAACAACGCGAACAACGTCGACGAGACAACAACCATTCGAACAACAACAACAAGGTGAAAAACAACCACGGAGAAAACGACTACGACGACCACGAAACTACATCAACAACGAGATCATAACTCGAAAAACAACAACGTGAAAAACAACCACGACGATCACACGTTTAGAAAAATATAAAGGATAGTAGTGTAAAATGTGGGTCAAGGCCGGATTTTCGACGTGACAACAACACCACAACAACAGGAAGAAAAATATGACTATCACACGTTTAGAAAAATATCAAGGGGCAAGGTCGGATTTTGAGATAAATCCGTCGTCGTGACAACAACAACAACCACTCGAACAACAACGACGTCAAAAACAACAACGTTAATCACACGTTTAGAAAAAATATGAAGGACAGCAGTGTAGAAAGTGGGCCAAGGACGGATTTTATGATAAATCGTCGTCGACGTGACGACAACGCGAACAACAGCGACGACGACTAGACAACAACAACCACTCGAACAACAACGACGTGAAAAACAACGACGTTTATCACACGTTTAGAAAAAATATAAAGGACAGCAGTGTAGAAAGTGGGCCAAGGACGGATTTTGGGATAAATCGACGTCGACGTGACAACAACGCGAACAACAGCGACGATGACTAGACAACAACAACCACTCGAACAACAACGACGTGAAAAACAACAACGTTAATCACACGTTTAGAAAAAATATGAAGGACAGCAGTGTAGAAAGTGGGCCAAGGACGGATTTTGGGTTAAACCGATTTCGACGTGACAACAACAACGCGAACAACAAGAACAACGATCAGACTACAACAACAACAACAACCACGCGAACGAAAACAACGAAGACTGTAACACGTTCGAAAAATATAAAGGATAGGAGTGTAAAAAGTGGGCCAAGGCCGGATTTTCGACGTGACAACACCACAACAACGCGAACAAAAATATGACTATCACACGTTTAGAAAAATATAAAGGGGTAAGGTCGGATTTTGGGATAAAGACGTCGACGTGACAACAACAACGACGACGTCAAAAACAACGACGTTGATCACACGTTTAGAAAAAATATAAAGGACAGCAGTGTAGAAAGTGGCCAAGGACGAATTTTGGGTTAAATCGATTTCGACATGACAACAACAACGCGAACAACAAGAACAACGACTAGACTACGACAACAACAGCCACAACCACGCGAACGAAAACAACGAGGACTATCACACGTTCGAAAAATATAAAGGATAGTGGTGTAAAAGTGGGCCAAGGCCGGATTTTCGACGTGACAAGAACAACAAGAACAACGACTAGACTACGACAAGAACAACGAATAGACTTCGACAACAACAGCCACAACCACGCGAACGAAAACAACGAGGACTATCACACGTTCGAAAAATATAAAGGATAGTAGGTAAAAAGTGGGCCAAGGCCGGATTTTCGACGTGACAACAACAACGCGAACAACAACAACGACTAGACGACGACAACAACAACAACTTGAACAAAAACAGCGAGGACTATCACACGTTTGAAAAATGTAAAGGATAGTAGCGTAAAAAGTGGGCCAAGACCAGATTTTGGGTGAATTGACACCGACGACAACGAAACTACTTCAACAACGACGAAGATAACTCAACAACCGCGCTCAGTTAAAACAATGTCATAGATGATGTACACGCGTTTAGAAAAAAAATATAAGGGATTGTAATTGAAAACTGGGCCAAGGAGAGATTTTGACAAAATCGGCGATGTCGCGACCACAACAACGACGGCGACGACGACACCGCAACAACGCGAACAACAACGTGAAAAACTACCATGACTATCACACGTTTGAAAAATGTAAAGGATAGTAGCGTAAAAAGTGGTCCAAGGCCAGGTTTTGGAAAAATCGACGATGCCACGATCACGACGACGACGACGACTACAAAAACCTCGACTTCAGGATAATTAGAGTTACACAATAGAGTGTGTAAATTAACCTGAGTCACGCCAAATTAAAAAAAAAAGGAATAATACCAACCGCAATGCGAATATGATATGAAAAATATATAAACTTGAAAGAATAATATGACCCAAGATGACAAAGGTGACATTTTAGGAAGATTAAATACAACAGTAAGCCTTCTGGAGAAAAAAAATTGAATGGATCGTAAAATTGTGTTCGAACCTCCGACAAATGACATCTGGAACGACGTCTAGGAATGGAAAATATGCTAATTGGCTAAGCCCTTGACAGAGGGCGGCGGGAGAAGTACCTCGTTATGAAAAAAGTTCCAAAAGCTGTTCGGTTAAGTTGAACGCTTTGATAGCTTAAACCATTCGACTGTTGACTTTAAGCTCAACGGGCATTTTTCTTAAATAATATCAATTTGGTGAATATTTTATCAACACCTTCATCCAGCACCGTTACCATATCTGGACATGGCTCGGGTATTTTGCAAGTTTATGCACATTGTCAACATAGCAAAATAAATGCTGATTGCGCAAGTTTGAACTTGTGCAATTCCAAGGTTTTCTTTTCTTCTACTCACAACGTTGACGTCATGCACATTTGTACTGTTTAAATTTTATATTAATTTCAATCCTTGGCAGTGTTAGGACTGTGTCGGTCTTCAAGGAAATTTGAGATCGCCCGTAAAAAAGTTAAATATTTGGCCAATTTAAAATTGTTTTGCCCTGATGTTGACCTTAAAATAGGTCAAAAGCTTGGCAGTAACAAATAAATTGGCTTTTTTCTTCAAGACCATACCTTCATCCTCATCATTTCACTATTCGACCATTTCTTTTTCTCAAGAGAACAAAAAACATTTGGGTGTGGCCCAGGTTTTGATGTCAGGCACCAAAGGCATCCTGAAAAAGCTTAAAGCTTTTTACCAACTCACCTTAGCCCGGAAACCTGGTGACCGGTTCAGAGTTAGGTGCGGCTAACTCAAATATAAGACCAATACAAGCCCGGCCATGAAGTAACAATCTTGGTCATATCCTGTACCATTCATCCTGCTGATTTTCCTACATCGACACCATCAAAACCACCTACGCGGATGATGCAGTTCCATCTTATAACCCTAATCCATCGAAGAGACCTGCAACATCAAAGTTTACCTTGAGATCATCAATGCATGATTATCATGCAAAAAGTGGAGGAAAGACTGAACAAGAAAAAAATTTCTCCTGTATGCATTTATAGTCAGATACTTCGGATTATACCTAGACTCTGACGTGATCCCCATGCAAGACATAAGAGCCAACAACTCAGCAGAAGGTTTTGTCAACTACTAAGACTTTTAGGACCAAAATCTTTTTCTTCGTATCCCAGGCTAGGTCTCCATTGTACACCGGTAAACTCCTGCTGGTATACTGACGCCTCCAAAACCGACATGGGCACGGGAGTTGGAGCCTTCGGGATGAACCCAAAGACCGAACTGTTAGTAAACTTAGGTAAATATGCTACAGTTTTCCATAAAAGGCTAGGGATACATTTCCGAAAGATAGCCGTCTTCTCGGACAGTCAGGCAGAACTAAAAGCCTCATGCTTGGTGAAGGCAAAGAGTGTTTGGAACTGCATGGAGGCCCAGACGTCAGTGACACTAATGATGACCTGGCATGGGTCATGGATACTCGGGGCGTAGAGGCAACGAAAAGGTTGACATGTTGGCCAAGGCGAACATGGCCTCTCTGGGTCCCCTGAACCCTAATGTGGCTTAACCTTCTGCCAAAAAAAGGATACATCTTAAAATGGATCCTTATTGAGTTCAAAACCTGGAGGAACAATACCAGGAGGCACGCGAAGAGATTCATAGAAGGACCATACGCAAAACTTAAAAAGGAATTACTGAAAGGCAACCATAACCAAGATTCTGGTTGGCGGCCTCCTGACTTGACACTGCCACTTAAGAAAGCACATGCCCCTGATATGGAAATATAGACAGAAGAAACACTGTGAATATCTGCCAGGAAGAGGCTGCAGAACACATTCTATGTTTCTGTGAAGGTGTAGGTGTAGGTTTTTGCAACTAGGACAGAAAAAACCGCAAGCAAGATCCTATACTGGAGCCGCTGCCAAAACAATGGACGGCTGATTAACAACCTGAAAATGGCCAGTGAGTTATAAAAACAGGGGAGCACAATAGATCTATTAAGATCGAGGTGCAGAAGACCTAGGCACCGAGATCAAACGGGTGGTAGTTTCTTTCTCTTCGTTTTGTAACCTACAGGGTCATCATTGAGTATTACCGAGTTGTGTAGGTTGTCACCTTTGACCTCGAGGAGTAGCAATGTGTTCCCCAGGTTTGATGAGTGTTCTTTAATCATTAATGTGCCTGACACCTCCGGTGCTGGTCCACCTGTCCTTTTTTTCTTTTTTGTCGTGTTATCCCAAGTGTAGGTTCTGGGCCTATGGTCTCGCAGATTCTTGCCAGTTTGTCCCCTTTATCATTACCGAATGTTTAGACATAAGACAAGCCCGGCGTCACAGAAGTATTCTGGGTCCCATTCTGTGTACCATTTATCCTGTTGACTTTTAAACACCATCATTCCACTGATGGTTTCGGTATTCTGTCTTGCAACCCAGAATCTTCTATCCATTCGACTTCAAAGAAAAAAAACCGGATTAACCAAATTTTGAGCTTATGCGCTTCCAACAAGATTTTTTTGCCGTGAAATGCTGTTCCAAACCATATTTATGTAAAAGATTACTCTTATCATAATCAGACATACTAATTAAAGTTCGATTAAATTTAATTTTTAATCTGCTTTTGGTCAGAATTTATAGTTTCAATTTTTTTTGTTACAGAGGAGGAATGGAGTGGAGATGGGAAAGGAGGAAGGTCTACCTCGTCCGCTGACACAAGTGGTAAGCTTTTCATTACGTCTTTTAATTTATCGGCCGTGTTTCCCTTCGGTTTTATATCGATGGGTCCGCACACGTTCGCTACACCTACGCTTCTCCATCAATGGGGGAAATTGCTACCCCCTTACGTCGTTGTGGCTGAACTGCCGTCCCCACCCCGTCAATGCCTATAACCTTACTCAAGCTGGAGGGCAGCAGTTCTCTCACCCTCCTCACCCCCGATTATTGATTTTTCGACGGGGTGTCGCGGAGTTCAACGTACCGGTACCAGCTTTGCCGACTCGACGGAACCAAGGACGAGATGAAAGGTGATGTCTAATTCTTAAAGAATATTTTCCTCTTTTCTGTCAACCCTCGCTTGAATATCCGCAACCCTCATCTTCTTTACCTCGGGGGTGGTTGTCTTCATTACTTAAGGGGGTGAGTGTCAGGTTGTTTAACCTTCCCTCTCGAACGTGCTTATGGCGTGTATCCATTACTATTAGAAATCTAATTAACTAAAAAGCTATAAAGCGCGATTCTTACCATCTCATCAGACGGTTCCCAAATAACGGCAATATATGGAGAAATCACTAGTCAATGCTCTCCCTTTAATTACCTAGCTTTGATTACAACAGAGCGGTATTATTCCTCCCTTTTTTTTTATTTTTGGTATGACTTGATGCTGTGAAAAACCCAATTTTGTAAGTAAAATTCGGTATCAGCAGTTGGTTGCAGGCGATGGAAATCGAAATCTGTTGTAGATGTTGTGGAAAATGTAGAAATGACTTTTTTTTAGGTCAAAGTGTACTCATGGCATCACACAATTTTTATGCTGAAGAAACTCAAAGGCTTTGTCCTATTCAGTCTTACTCTCAGTGCTGACTGTAGCTAGCATCTGGTTTAAATGTTCGGTTGGTTTTGATAGTGCTAATAGGCATACCGTCAAGGTGCGGGATGTTCTGTGCAGTGTATCTCGCTATTACCAAGGAGCATCATTTTATTTTTGAACTGTTTTATTGCTTCTTTTACACACCTCCAAAGTTATATTCCATGATGACGATGGATAATAGGAAAATAGGCTTATGTCGTAGAAAAGTCCCAGGCTATTGGGTCATGCAGTTCCCTTCTAAATTCTTTCCCACAAGGATCTTGGGATTGTCCTGGACCAGAAAGCCACATCCCACCCAGATTTCCTTAAGCTGGTTCTCCACCTTCCGTCCGTTTAGTAAGATTAAACTCTAGTTTTCCCCGTTATTCTCTTCCAGTTTGGTTATGGTTTATTGTGGGTGAGCTTGAACGTCTTCGGCTCCTCAAGGAGGTCCACGTGAATGATCTCAACGATTTGAAGTACCCTTTCCTAGTGCAAGCAATACTTGCTTGGTTCCTCTGTCAGCTATCTTCCCAGAAAGATCTCCATCAGATTATCTGTACCCCCCATAAAACCACCCTTCTAACCTTATCCTTCTATACAGGGGGACAACTTCCTCTCCAGTACAACTGCGTTCATTCCTTCCTTGCCTGTGCCTTCAGCCTGAAATTCCTTTTCTCACTATATCCGCCAAACCTGATGATGAAGTGGGGGGTTATTTCTTCCGAGGACAACCGCTTTCTGGTGTAGTGTACTCTCCTAGATCCTTAGTTCGGATAATCGACTCGACCCTTTTCTAAACAAGTCCTAGGCCATTGAGGTTTTTTTCTTTATATCCCTGTTTATGTGCCATTGTGCTTCACAATCAATTTGGGTGATGAAGATGATGTATCTATTTCCTCCTCATTGCATAACCTACAAGGTCATCATTGAATATGCGTTGTGTAAATGTTTTCTATCACTCCTCTAACGTAGCAATGAGTTTTGCCAGTCTTGATGAGGTCTATGTGTGTGTACCTGTAGTGTTTGTGCACTGCAGTTTTTGCCTTTTTAGATCCATTTTGTAATGGAAGATTCTGTTTGTCTTCGTCATCCCAAAAATAGTTTCAGGGCTTATGTCTTGCAGATCCTCCTCTGACCAGTGTCTGCCTTTACGTTATCCAAAATTCCTTTGTGTCCTGGTACCCAAGGCTGTGTTTCCCCAGATTTTGGATACTTTAGATGTACTGAAAAATTTTGAGGTGATTTTTTTTACATACTAATCCTTAAATAGCTGCTCGGCTATCCGAAGACACAAGAGTTGATGACATTTCAGCTTGAAAGACCGAGCTTGTACTTCTCTAATGAGTTTGATTGCTTCATTTGTTTCGGGTCCATCTGTATACCTACAGCTGCTTTATTGTGCTGGAGGTTTGCTTGAAGCACCCTCAGCATCAGTTTTTACTTTTTCTAACGACCCTTAGAGTTATCATCGCAAAACCAAAAGTTTTAGGTTGTTTAGAGACCCGATGCATCGTCCATGCCTACCACATATGTAAGAAGACCTTTACTTTCAACTCTCTCCACTGTCCAGTGTTGATTTCTGGGTTTTGAGATCCTTTCAACTCGAGAATGGTGGTTAAGTCCTTAGTATCCACATAGCCTGGTTTTTATTATTATACCGTACGGACATATAGGTTTTAATATGTGGTTATAAATTATGATTTTATTTTCTACTGATATATCAAGTTCTTTCCTTTTCTTTTTGATTTGTTTTCACCAATATAATTTTTTATCTATTGCCATGCCTAAATATTTAACCGAATTTATGAAAATACTTTACCAATGATGATGATCGGCTTGTTTAATTTTCTATTTGTGAAATTTATATTACTGAATTTTGGGTTTGGTTTGAACTTTCAAGTATTTGTCCAGAATCTTGTATATAGCAAGTATAGCACGGGACCTAGGATGCTGCCTTGTGGTAGGCCAGTTTTAACCTCTAACAAATCAGAGCATTCTTCTTGTTGCTTAACGTGAAACAGTCTTTCCGGGTTGGTAGGAGGACAGAAGTTCAAAATATTGCTTTGAATTTTTTTTAAAGTGAGTAGCTTTTTTTTTAACGTTAGTGCCAAACCTTGTCAATGGATTGCGATTTTCCAAAGCTTTCTGTATAACATAAATAATTCATTGATGTATCTGATCAATGGTCGAGTGCTTGGCCCTGAATCATGGTGGCTTGGTATAACATTCGCATTTTCATAGAGGGGTTCCCAGTATTTTTAGAAAAACTATTTCGAATAATTTTGAGATAAAAGTAAGCAATGAGACGGGACCGGTAGGATGATACTGCGGTGGTTTTAATATCATGGCGATCTCGGAAACTTTCCAGACAGGGACATAACTAGATCTTATCGCTGCGATAAATAATTTTGCCAATTTTAAAATTCCTTTTTTTGGGAAGTTTTTTCCTCCTCCTTGGAAGTCCTCTCAATGGAATGTTGGGTATCTAAATAATATTTAAAAAGCATACTTAAACTTACCCCCCTTTTGGATTATTAGGACAGCATGTAATATACATCACTCTACCTATATTATACTTAAATTTGTTTTAAAATAGGTAATAAAAATAGTTAATATGAATACTAAAGAGTGACAAAAAAATCGTAAATTTGAAGTGAATCATCACATAAAATGCAGACTAAATTTAACTGGTATTACCAACTGTACGGAATGCTTAGAAAATTAAATATGGAAATAAATGCCTTACATTTTAAGAGGAACATCCCAGTAATATTAAAAAAAAAAAAAAATGAAAAAAATCTAAAGACAGAAGATTGTAAGTTAAAACAAATAAGCAAATACAGTCCACTCTGAACTCGAAATATTAACTTTGGCCCCAAATACTATTGCACTAATAAGTTTACGTTTTGCTATGTTATGGGATTTTGCACGCGCTTGGGTTATGCTCTTGTTGGAATCCGTGGGGTTTGTTGAAAGTGAATGTATTTATTATCGTGAATGTACCGCGTGAGAGGGACAATGGCGGAATATAAACTACCACTTTGACCCTCAATTACATTAGCTATATTCGGGTGACTGACGATAAGTGTGGAAATTTCCGGAGGTGTTTGTATTCACCATATACAACAAAACTATAAACCCCTGCCCATATCTCAACGGTAAAGAAGTAATTTCAGGTTTTTGGTTGTTTTTCGACTCCACTAAATAGTTTAAAAACTTCAGAATTACTGACTGTTGAAAAATCCGGTTTATTCCGCCTGAAAGAACGTTGTATATAGGTTGGAGTGAGAATAGAGGATAGCCCGTGTCATCGGCAAACGTGGAGATGACTGACTGTTTGGGAGAGTAGGAACGTCAGCGTTAAAAGGTATTCAGCCTAGTCTAGACTATCAGAACGTATGATATGCATAAAATATCGATAACTTTGAAAAATCGCCACCAAGGATACAAACTTAAGGGACGGTTGGTGGAAGGAAATGGATATTATTCCCTGACACGGCAATAGGATTGGAGGAATAAACTGGGAAGAATCTCCTTGAGCATCCACAGTGGTGTTAAATGTGCCCATAGTGTTGAACTGCAAAACCAAATATTAGGTCGCAGAACAAAGGCTGGGTCCCAGGACATATGAGAGTAGAAGGCAACGAAAAAGCGGACACCCTTGCAAGAAAAGGGGCTGCTATACCGCTGATAGGACAAGAACCCTGTGGCATAGGAACCCACTCTAAAGGAGGAAACAATGGAATTCACCCATTGGACACAAACAATCCAAGAATCTCCGAACAAATTTCGGAAGGAAAGAAGTGATAGAATGTATCAAAGGAAGCAGGAAAAAACTGCGAATCCTAACAGGATTCTTAACAGGACACTGAAAACTAAATGGGTATTTAAAGAAGATTGGAATAATAAAAAGACGGCACATGCAGATTCTGCAAAGAGGCAGTGGAGACACCAACCTATTAACAAACTGTGGTGCTACACTTGCACGCAGGATTAAGTGTTTTGGGATGTACAATGCCACTGTAGAAGAAACCGACAAGACTGAAAACGGGCTTACTAATCAAGTTCCTTGTTTAAATCCAGTATGCTATAGGCACAGAACGGGGCATGCTGTAGCTCTTAAAAGGCGCAGTATATTACACCTCGACTATCTACATCTACATCCTCACCCGGGTGCCCTTCCCGGTCGAAAGCCTGGGTTACGTCTAGAAAGACACCCAAACATTACTTATTTACCCGTGAGAAGCGGCAATAGTGTCCACCACAACCTGCTGCAAAGTAAAGTTAACTGAGCGTTTGGGACGGTTTTCGTAGTCTCAAGAATGTTGGAATTACTATTTTAGACAAAGTTTTGCCAAGAAATTAAAACCGCGGTAGGTTTGTTCAAAAGCTAAGTTCGTGTTGAGGCGACTATAAGGTCATATGTTTTTGAGTAAAAGGCGAAACCGTAGGTCCAACAGGGTCAACTGATGGCGTGTAGCGCAGTCGGATCACGTCTAAAAACGCACCCGACATTCAATGGGGGCCTAATGGGCTCCGGTCCAAATATCTAAGCCTGCTGAAATAGCCAGTCCGACGATAGCTAGCGAGGAGGACGGCATCGTATCCCTCCCTCCCGCAAGATGTTGCCGCCTTGCCAACTGAGTAAGTAACAATTGATAAATGTAAACTGAATTAAGTCGAAAAAAAACAACCGGGCGATGCAACTGGCCGAAGTGCGCGTGAAGTTCTGTTGTCCGACTGTCAGCTGGAGGTACCGCCGTGCACGCGAACGTTCGAGGCTTTTAGAGAATGAGCCACACACGAACGACCCCAGTGAGTTTTTTATTTTTATTATGTTTTTTTACATTGCTAAAAAAAGATTATCTATCGCTCTCCAAGGTCAGGGTGGATATATTTCGGATACATACCTAGCCCATCTTTCTACTCCTCATACTAAGCTCGTCTTATACCTTTTACCAATATGTTTTGACGTTGTTTTTCATTATGAGAGGAAAACACTACCGTTTCTCTTAAGAATGGAAGAAATGCAGTACTATCATTTAACCCGCCCGAGTACCATCATGTCAGGGTCATTCGATCGGATGTGACAAACTAAACGTTTTTCTACACACCTCCGCGTGCTTTGCCCAAAAGCAAGTATCCATGCGTCAGACGGGTATGATCCCCAATAAGGTCATCGTTCAGTCGTGACTCTTGACGACCCGTCCCATTGACGCTGCCAACTCTCTTACACAGCATTTTCTGCACCGCGCCAGATCGTGATCGTTTGGTCTGGAGGCTTATCCGTCGATCTTGGTTTTTTTTTATTTGTATGCTGTGATTTTTTTTTGATCAGACACCTAATAAATACTTTGACCTTGACCTTTTGGACAGTAATTGTTTATTTCTCTTGTTTTTCTGGTTTCTGCTTTTATTGGCTGTTTGTTTTCGACGATTAAAAGCAGTACTTTTGTTAATAGTTTGTTTCTATTGTTGAAATCGTGCTGCTTTTAACCTTGACCTTATCTATCTTCTACGTCTATTTCGCTTATTCAGAATTCGTATTCCCGTCGAGTATTGTAGCTTGCCGGCCTGGATCATTGTTCTTTGGTCGCCTTTTTTATTGTACTTTTGTTTACCTTGGCTTAGTTCATGGTCTTGTTCAAACATCTTGTAGATGCTCATTGTTCTTACCTCTTTATAAACAGTCCCTTTTATTTATTTTTTATTTTCATTTCGTCTTTATCTTGACCGAAAGTTTTCTTTAAAATTCGTGTGCGACCTGCTGCAATCCAAAATATTTTATCAACTTATTTACGCCAAAAGCTAACCCGACCCATTGATCTTGTCGCCAAGGGGTATTCACGGCTTGATTCGTTTGGTTTCCAGGAGCTTCACATCACAGCTTGCTTTAAAAAGACATTAAACTCCTGTTAATCTGAATCTTCCGGGCACCTGCTATTTTTGAAGATGCATCAAGTTTGAGTCATGCCACGAGTCGCTATCAGGACGTCAAGGCGATCTCCAAGGTCCTGTCACAGAGATTTTTCGTATTAATTTGTTATCACTTGCTTTCGTATATTTTTAACCCGTATCTAGTTTAAAGTTTTGAAACGTTGGTTCTCTGAGTTGGACGGAGGTTCGGAAATAGACTGATCGTAAAATCTCTTCCCCCCTTGCGTAAACAGCCGGGAGCCACATGTTTCCTGTTTCACGATTGGTACTGATTCTGTTTTTTGCTTTCAGGCCGGCTGGAGGAGGAAGGAGGCGGCGGAGGCGGAGGCGGAGGTGGTGGACGGACGAGAGCCGGGCGTACCAGGGACATGGAGATGAGGCGGCACACCCTGTCCGCCCCCGACCACAGGTACACGGTACGTGCCATGGACCTCGAGGTGAGTACCGAAATCTGCTTTTTAACCGACTAACCGATCCCCCTGCACCAACTAACTTCCAATCCTTTTTTTTTTAATTTTTCCACGCTTGCCTAGATGGGGAGCAAAGCCAACAGGCGGAAGGTACGTCCACTCCTCACAACCCTCAAAATTTTTTTTAAAATTTATACGCTTGATTTTGTTTCCCTCCTTGTCTGCAGTCGCCCCAGCCTAGGGGCTACCCTCCCCCGCCGAATATGCTTCTCGATGACGATCCCGGGATAATGTCCGAAGTGGAGACGTCTTCGACCGGCTTCAGACGTGGGAACAAGCAACGGAGCTCGCTGCCTGTCGTGAGGACGCCGAGCAAGACCCTGGAACGGCCTCTAGGTGAGACACCCTGTATAAAATTCCCACTTTAGTAGGAATGCTATTTGTGCTCTGTCGTTTTTTGTCTGATTTGGAGAGAAAAATCGACCCCGCCGGGGAGGGGGATGCGTGAACAAGGGTATGACTACGTTTTGTCGACACTGAAGCCATTACCATTCTCATTTCAAAGAATAATATTCATTTTGACGTTTTCTACAAAATTTAGACAAGGCAGAAAACCGTTAAGATAATTCCTTCGCGCGAAATTCTACTTAGCAGGAGCTTCATATGAGATCCCTTGAATTCCTGCATCCAGGAGCAATCAATTTTTGATAAGAAGGTTCACAACATCATAGGTTATATCAGCCCTAAGGGTGCCAGTGTTTTTGAAAAGAAAACACATTTGTAATTATGTCGAGTTCGAATGCAGGACCGCTGGATTCGAACACAGGAGGTTTACCTTAGAGTGATGAGCGCACTATCAACGACGCTTAAACCGTTGCGGCACGGACGCCACCCTTCAGCTATACATTATTGTTAGTTGTAATGAACTGCTTGATTCATCCTCTTAGCAGGAGCGTAAAATATTGGGAGCTCCGTGAAAATCCACGAGTTCCTGGATTCCGAAAGTATTATTTCAACTCCTGGTTCATCCTCTTATCAGGAGCTTAATAACATCGAGAACTCCGTGAAAATCCACGAGTTCCTGGATTCCGACAGGATAATTTCAACTCCTTGTTCATCCTCTTATCAGGAGCTTAATAGGATTGGGCGCTCCGTGAAAATCCACGAGTCCCTGGATTCCGATAGGATTATTTCAACTCCTGGTTCATCCTCTTATTAGGAGGATAGGATTGGGGGCTCCTTGAAAATCCGCGATCTCACTGATTCCGACAGGATAATTTTAACTCCTGGTTCATCCTCATATTAGGAGCTTGCTAGGATTGGCAGCTTCCTAAAAATATGTGACCTCCTGGATTCCGACAGGATTATTTCAATTCTTGGTTTATCCTCTTTTCCAGAGCTTAATAGGATTGGGAGCTCCGTGAAAACCCACGAGTCCCTGGATTCCGATAGGATTATTTCAACTCCTGGTTCATCCTCTTATTAGGAGCTTAATAGGATTGGGGGCTCCTTGAAAATCCGCGTTCTCACTGATTCCGACAGGATAATTTTAACTCCTGGTTTATCCTCTTTTCCAGAGCTTAATAGGATTGGGAGCTTCTTGAAAATCCGCGACCTCCTGGATTCCGACAGGATAATTTCAACTCCTGGTTAATCCTCATATTAGGAGCTTGCTAGGATTGGCAGCTTCCTAAAAATATGTGACCTCCTAGATTTCGACAGGATTATTTCAATTCCTGGTTTATCCTCTTTTCCAGAGCTTAATAGGATTGGGAGCTCCTTGAAAATCCGCGACCTCCTGGATTCCAACAGGATTATTCCAACTCCTGGTTCATCCTCATATCAGGGCTTAATAGGATTGCGAGCTCCTTGAAAAGCCGTGAACTCCTCAGAATCAACTCCTGGTAGCAATTGTTGCATAAGCTGCTATTTTTTTGACTTATTGATTAATCAAATCTCGAAGATACTGAGATCCTGTTTTTCTAAAGTTTAATCAAACCTGGGATGTTTTGTTTCTAGGATCTTCATCTCAAAGATGTTAAGCTCCTGATAACCTGAGCATATGAGCTATACAAAAGTGTACATTATTTGTCCCATTTTGTTTCTTGGATCTTCATTTCAAAGATAAGCTCCTGATAGGCTTGAGCTCTTGTTTTTTAGCACTTTGAAATAGGGCCACCGGTCATACTTTTCGTGAATCCTGGCAAGCCGGTTTTCAAGGTAACCTTTGACCATCGAACCCGAAAATCTGCCCACCCCCAACACAGCCCTTGTTCACGCGCGCCTCCTTCCCCCTCACTTTTGTCAATATATAACAGTGTGTCGCAAATTGTGCCTTGTAAAACCAAAATTTGTGTGTGTGTGTGTTTGGGGAACTCAGGTGGAACCCCCGGGGGCGCTTGGTACGGCGAGAGAAGGGAGAGGCCTGCCGACGGACAGCCGCAGCAGCATTACTGCGGTAAAGGCAGTCACTGGCTCCTTTCTGTGTCACCCTGTAATCTTTTCTTTGTTTTCTGTTTTTCTTTTTTTTTTTTTTTTAATTTATTTTCTTATAATTTATTACTATTATTTTATTTTTAGGGAAGGAGTTTATAATTTTATTTTTATCGTTTCGCCGGTATTTTTCTAAAAATAATTTTGTATTTTAGATTTTTGTTATTTATTCAGTTCCTTTTTATAGAATCCACAAAACTCGAAAGCTGTAGTTTTAATGCTCGCCAAATTTGCATGCTGCATATGTCATGTTTTTTTATTTTTTTATTTTAATTTTTTAAGTTTATTTTGCTTTGTGTAAGTTGTATTATCCCTGTTTTATTTGTGTTTGTTCCTTGTGTCTTTATTTTCAAAAAAAAAAAATCATAAAAAACAAACAATATAATAAAGTAAATTTAATAGAAAAAAGTAAAAGCTAATATTTATATATTTTTCTATTCAAAAAAGGCCATCGTTTTTCCAAAATTTGAACCCCACTCCCAAAAGATTTGGACGTTCTACCCAGGAAAACCAACTCTCAGCCATTGCATGATCAATGTATATATATATTTTTAAAATTGATTACATTTTTTTAACGTCCGATTCAATATAGATTCTATAATTTTTTATATCTCTGTATGTTCTTATTATTTACTTCGCTCTCTTTCTCTTTCTCTTTTATTTTTCTTATTTTAAATAATCAAGCCGGTAGTTATTTCCTTTTATTTTATTTTATTGAAAAAGCCTTTACCGCAGTAATGTAAAAAATAATTTCTTTTTATTTTAAATTTAAAAAAATAAATTATTACACCCTTAAATGGCCTTAATTAAAATAAAGAAAGAAAAAAGAAAAATCCATTTTTTTCCTTTTGCAGCATTTTATAATTATATTTCATTATTATTCGAAAATATTTTTAAAACGTGTAGAATTTTTTCTTTTCTTTTTGTTTTTAAAAAATGTACTTTGTATCATACTTTGCACAGGCATTTTTCTTTTCTTTTTTTGAAAATCTTTTATTTACTTATATTTTGTTTGGTTTCCACACACAAAAAAAATAAATAAATAAAATAAAAAAAATCACATTTACTACATTGCCAGAGCATGAGTTTCATCAGACAGATTTTGACTGGGCGACACCGAGATTTGGCATCAGGCTGTAGGTCGATGTTGATTCTATCAGCTCCTGAATTCGGACTATCGTTTCTGCCTTAACAAGGGCATCCTAGTACAAGAAGCTTATCTCAAGAATCATATCTCGAGATTCCTTCTTTCAAAGGCTCTTCTTCAATTTCACCAATTAACTGCAACTGTAGCCATCAAGATTTCTTGCGCAACTTAGCTTTAACTGAATACGGTTAGGTAGAAACTTCACTGGACGTGTCATATAACTTGTGAAACCTGAACTCAGTTCAGTCATTTAGTTGTAAGTTTTGTCTTTCTGTTGTCCTAGGTTGTTTAGTTTTACAGGAACTTAATTGAAAATATCTGAGCCCACGCTTTTCTTGTACAGTTCAAGAGTTTATTAGCATCAGTGGCAGAACCTAGCAATTCTAAGTTCATTCTTTTCTAGTGCAGTTAGCCAGTTTATGGGTATCAGAAGCATAACTTGAGAATATCTGAGTCCATGCTTTTCTTGTCGAGTTCAAGAGTTTATGGGCAGAACGAGCAGAACTATGAATTTTAAGTTCATGCTTTTATTGTAGACTAAAAAGTCTATGGGTATGAGGGGCATAACTTAAGGATATCTGGTATCAGGATCATAACTAGGGAATATCTCAGTTCTTGCCATTTTTGTACAGTAAAAGTGTTTATGGCTATCAAGAGCAGAACTGGGAATACCTGAGTCTATCCTTTTCTTGTCCAGTTCAAGAGTTTACGGGCATCAGGAGCAAAACCTAAGAATATGTGACTCCAGGCTTTTCTTGTACACGTTTATGCGTATCAGGAGCAGAGCCTGAAAATATCTGAGTCCTTGCTTTTCTTATCCAGTTCAGCAATTTATGGGTATCATGAGGATAACCTGATAATATTACAGTAAAAGAGTTTATGGGTATCAGGACCAGAACTGGGAATTCCTGAGACTATGCTTTTCTTGGCCAGTTCAAGAATTTATGGGCATCACGAGCAGAACCTATGAATTTTAAGTTCATGCTTTTCTTGTAGACTGCAAAAGTCTATGAGTATGAGGAGCATAACCTATGAATATGTAAACCCCTGCTTTTCTTGTCCAGTAAAGAGTTTATTGGAATTAGAAGCATAACGTGGTAATATATCTGTTCATGTTTTTTTTTTTTTTTTTTTTTTTTAGACAAAGTCTAAGGGTATGGGGAGCATAACCTATGGATATCTAAGCCCCTGCTTTTTTTGTACAGTTAAAGAGTTTATTGGTGTTAGAATCATAACCTGGTGATAACTCAGTTAATGCTTTCCTTGTCCAGTTAAGATTTTAAGAGCATCACGAGCAGAACCTGAGAATTCTAAGTTCATGTTTTTCTTGTAGACTTCAAAAGTCTATGGATATATGGTGCATAACCTAAGAATATCTATGTCCCTGCATTTCATGCACAGTTAAAATGTTTATGGGTATCAGGAGCATAACTTGGAAATATCTCATTTCTTGTTATTTTTGTACAGTGTTTATGGGTATCTGGAGCAGAACTGGGAATACCTGAATTTATGCTTTTTTTGTCAAGTTCAAGAGGTTATGGGCATCACGAGCACAACCTTTAAGTTCATGCTTTTCTTGAGGCTGCAAAAGCCTATGGGTATGACGAGCATAACCTAAGAATATGGAAGCCCTGCTTTTCTTGTACACTTAAAGAATTTATTGGTATTAGACGCTTGAGGATATCAGGAGCATAACCTGGTAATATCTCAGTTCGTGCTTTTTTTGTACAGCAAAAAGGTTTATGGGTATCAGAATCAGGACTGGCAATATCTGAGCCTATGGTTTTCTTGTCCAGTTCAAGAGTTTATGACCATCACGAGCAGAACCTAATAATGTTTATGCTTTTCTTGTAGAATTCGAAGGTCCTGAGAACCTAAGAATATCTAGTCCTCGCTTTTTTTTTGTACAGTAAAAGAGTTTTTGGATATCAAGAGCATAACTTGGAAATATCTGAGCTCGTGTTTTTATTTAGTGCTATAGTTTCTGCCAACCCCTGGTTTGCTAGTTAATCATCGTTATATCTTTATCCATTTGTAGCTCTGTACTTCTGAAAAATAATTTCGTATTTTTTTAATAAATCTGTATTCTCGGTGTCGCCAAACAATGTACAATCACGTCCTCATTAACAGCCACAATGCGAACACCAATACATTATCGTTCCTGCTTGATTTGTATGTAAGTACGCACTTGCAGACTAGCTCCACAAACACTTCACAACCAACTGACTCACAGACACGACCTCATTTATTAAGGTCATTTGGGTGTCTTGTAAGTGATTTTCTTTCTTTCCTTTCTGAAAAAAAATTTCTAACTGTAAAGCGTAAAATACTAAAACAAAAAAGAGAGAAAGGAGATCACAGTTTCTATATAGAAAAAAACAGTTTTAAAAAACAAAACAAAAATAAAATCGTCGAATGTACTAAGTTTGTTTCTTCTTTCTTGTAAAAAAACAAAAACCAGGCTTGGTGTTTCTCCAGTACAGAAGCGAGACGAAACGGGCCCTCCTGCCCAACGAGATCACCTCGATAGACACGGTGAAAGCGCTGTTCGTTCGATCTTTCCCAAAGCAGCTGACGATGGAATACATGGAATCGCCTCACGTCAAGATTTACATACACGACTCGTCGAAGGACATGTTCTACGAGTTGGAAGACCTCAGGTGATTATATTCATTGTAGTTTGGTCAAATTTCTATCGCTTAGATCGACACTGATCACTGGTTTCTTACTTTCCACTATAAGCATTTCGGTCTCACGTAGTGTTCAGTGAGGAAAATCCAGCGATCATAGAGAGAGGCAAGGTTATCATTGTCGATCAGGTCGTTATGCCAGTGGCATTCTGTTAGCTCCAAAGTTCACGTTGTCAATAAACTAAAGTAGTGTTTTAACTTATTACGTTGCAGGTCTCACCTGAGAGATATAAGGGACAGGTCGGTCTTGAGACTGTTCGAGTCGGACGACGTCGTCGGGACCGGTGGAGGCCTTGGTCTCGGCATCATGGGTTCAGGGCCGATCCCAACCTGGGACCAAGACCAGTCGTACTTCTCGGAGCCGGAGTTTGACTCGGAATACCATCACCAGCACATACACAAAACGAAGGTTGGTAAAGAAATAATAACGAATTGTATTTATTTTTAAATTTAAAACTATATAATAAATAGGAGTAGGACTCGAAAATAGTATCTAGAAGTGATGGCACTGCTGCGCTGCGGGCACGTATAGCGCCCCGGCGTAGAGCTTCTTCGACGTCTCTCTCCAAGAGAGGACGGTCGCTTTCCTGAAAGGGTCTTCACCGCAGCCGGAGCAGAGCGCCATTATGCTTCTTACCTGAAAAGCCAAGAAGTTTAAGGAAAATCCGGTTTAGTTGTGTCGTTTCGATCTCACCTCCCATTCAGCTGGCTCGTTCCACTTCTTAGGTGGTTTCTCTTCGACGTCATCTTCCGCCAGCTGTAGATTGAAAGGGTTCTGCAGGCTCCCGCCGCCCAGCATGAACCCATCGCCTGTATACAGACCTGACAGGTCGATCCCGGGGAAGACGCCGAACTCGGTTGTCCTCTTCGTCTTCGACGATGGCTCCTCGGTATCGTTCTTGCTCTGCTCCCTCTTGGCTAACCTGAACGGGGAGCGCACATCCGACAACTGAAGCTGGAGCTGCTGTTGTAGCTGTTGCTGTTGCATGAGATCAAGCTGCTGCCTCTGGCGGATCACGTCGAGTTCCTGTACCGGCAGCCTGGGAACGAGTTGCATCCCCCTGAGGAAGGGGAACTCTGTGACACCGTCGGGTAGTGGTGTTGCCTCAGGGCCGGGCATCATCAACGCCTGCTCCGCCTCTTCTAAGGGAAAAAAGCGATGTTAGACGCACCCAATCGTGTTCGCCCTTTCAACGCCACATACCAACTCCCTCGTGGTGGAACTTGTGCGCGTGATGGTGTTTGTGGTTGTTGTACGCTTTTCCTGCCGTGAGGGCCGCTTTGTACAGCTGGACCAGGGTCACTTCTCCCATGAGACCGCTCGTTTTCCTTGCCACGCCGAACCCGCCCCCGTATTGGCTCTGCTCCTGTCCCGTCATCGCGAGTCCGCCTCCCTTGATCTTCTTCCCCACCAGCTGCAGAATGTAGACAAATAAGTCATCTATTGTAATTTATACCTCCGGACACGTACTAAGTTGTAGAAACCTCTGCCGGCCCTTTCCGAGTCGATCCACACCTGCCACTCGCCAGTTTTCCCGTTCCAAGACTGGCAAACGTGGTGCCACTTGAACAACTTGATCGGGTAGTTGAGCCTGTAGATCGTGTGGCCTCCGATGGCCATTTGGTAGAAGCTAGACTTATCCGTGTTGCTCACCCAAGACACTATCTCCCTAGGTTGGTCTTTCACTAAGAAAATCAATGAAATATATAACAAAAAATGCTTAACAGACTATACAGTAGATGCTAATTCCGGATCTACAATTGCCATAATTTAGCCTACATGCTACAATTGATTAGTTGTTTATTTGTATCAGATGTCCATTGGGCCTTTACTCTATAAAACACAAACTTTACCTTTTTTGCTTAGCAATAATGTTACATTTCAGTTTGAGTTGTGAGTTGTATGTGCTTATCAAGCTGTTTCGATGCATTGCTCAGCTTGTCTGTGGCATATCTCTAGTTCTTTTTGATTTTCTTTGTGATGTGTCTAGTTACGACTTATCAGGAGATCCAGTGAATTTCTCACCTGCTGTTGATCTATTCATCAAAATCCAAGAAATCATGTTTCATAAATAATTACTAAATCATATTTGTGTTTTTTCGTTGAACGTTTTATCTTTCTTACGTTTTTTTAGGCTATTTACTTTTAAGAAGAGCATAATCTGAGAATATCTGGGTCCATGCTGTTCTGTTAAAAGGATTTTTGGCTAATACGAGTAACCTGAGAATATTTGACTTTATGCTTTTCTTGTAGAGTTTAACAGTTTCTAGGTATCAGGAGTAAAACTTGAGAATATTTGAATTAATGCTTTTCTTGCACATTTAAAGGGTTTGCTGGTATTAAGATCATAATTTGAGAATATCTGAGGTAAACCTTTTCTTGTACAGTTAAAGAATTTTGGCTATCAGCAGCAAAACGTGGGAATATCGGACTCAAGCTTTTCTTTTAAGAGTTCAAGATTTTATGGTTATTAGGAGCAATGCTCATTTCGTGCTTTTCTTGTACAGTACAAGGTTTAACATATCGGGGGTATAACCTATAAGTTAATGTTTTTCTTATATAGTTAAATAGTTTTTTGGTAACAGGAGCATAACCTGAGAATAGCTGAGTTTATGCTTTTCTAGTACAATTAGCGACTTTATGGGTATCAGGAGCATAACCTGTAATATCTCAATTCATGCTGTCCCTGTACGGTTAGCGAATTTATGGATAGCATGACTATAACCTAATAATATCTCAGTTCAAGCTTTTTTTTTGTACAGTAACAAAGTGTATGGGCATCAGGACTAGAACTGGAATAGCTGAATCTATGCTTTTCCTGTCCAGTTAGAGAATCTATGGGTATCAGGAGCATAACCTGATAGTATGTCAATTCTGCTTTTCCTGTACAGTTAGAGAATTTATGGGTATCAGGAGCATAACCTGATAGTATGTCAATTCTGCTTTTCCTGTACAGTTAGAGAATTTATGGGTATCAGGAGCATAACCTGATAGTATGTCAATTCTGCTTTTCCCGTACAGATAGAGGTGTTTCTGGGTTTCTGGAGCATAACCTGATATTCTGTCAATTCATGCTTTTTTTTGTACGGTTAGCGAGTTTAAGGGTATCAAAAGTATGACCTGATAATGTCTCAATTTTGGTTTTCCCGTACAGTTAGAGAGTTTATGGAAATAAAGAATATAACCTGATAATATCTCAATTCATGCTTTTCCTGTCCAGTTAGAGAGTTTATGGGGGTATCAGGAGCATAACCTGATAGTATGTCAATTCATGCTTTTTTTGTACCGTTAGCGAGTTTAAGGGTATCAAAAGTATGACCTGATAATATCTCAATTTTGGTTTTCCCATCCAGTTAGAGAATTTATGGGTATAAAGAATATAACCTGATAATATCTCAATTCATGCTTTTCCTGTAAGTTAGGGAGTTTAGGGGTATCAGGAGTATAACTTAAGAATAACTGGGTTCATGTTAATATCTCAATTCACGCTTTTCTTGCACAGTTAAAGAGTATTTGGGTATAACGAGCAGAACCTAAGACTATCTATCTTCATGTTTTTCTGTTCAGTTAAAGTGTTTTAAGGGTGTAATATATGACTTCATGCTATTGTTGTTAAAAGACCCCTTTTTTGATCAGGAGCATAACATATCATTCTTAAACTACCCTTTGAAGTTAATTAGCGATCCCGTTAATTATTCGCTTTATAATCACATGTTTAATATGCTCGTGTAGCATGTGTGTTAATTTGGATTTATATAATATTATATGTATAATCCATTATAGTATATTGAGTTGAAATTCTTTCCAACCATGACGTATTTTTTTCAATAATATTATTCAACACATGTTGCGCTAATCAGTTGAATTATCAGGGCGTGCAATGTTCTTTGCCAACCAGAATTTCTTGTTGTTATTTCATGCTTTTTTCTTTTCTGATCTCTTGAAAAATACAAATATTTTTTATATGTAAACAACATGATTGATTGTAACGTTCTGGCCAACACCCCACAGTCACAAGACTCTGAATTGGATCCGTCGACGCAGTTTACTTTAACATCCGTTGACGGGGATAATCGCAAATTCCCCCCAACGAATTCGTCATACTTAGTACGGTTTTTATGTTGTTATCGTATATTTTTTAGCATACTCACGGGCGTAGGAGAAGAGAGGGTGGTCGGTCGAGTGGTTGTAAAACTTGTGCCAGGAGCAGAGTGTGAACTCCTTCATGTCTGGAAGGTGCACTTTGTACTGGATGTACTGCAACCGGAATACGGATACTTAGCTTACAAATCGGGGATCTGTTTCTTTTTGACCTTTTACCTGGTAGAATTGGTCTTGGTGCATCACCACCTTGTATAGGTCGCAGTGGTTGGGGTCGAGTAGGCCCAACGTCCTCGGTGAGCCTTGGCCCAATCCTTTATCGACTGGCTGCCACTCGGCCAGTGCGCAGCTAACCGCCAACAGCCTAGAAATAAAATAACATCCGACGTGCTATAAATAAATACCAATTTTTTCAAATCCTTCCTGTCAGTAATCATTCGATTATCCCAAGCTCCTGTCACTTTGGTATTAATTCAATCCTAGGTGATACAGAAGAAACATCGGCTACTGCAGGCTCAGTCTTTATTAAAACACCTGATTCAATGTTGGAGTGCGCATCTGAGCTCCTACTTTGTTTTACTATCAGAGTTGAGGATAATTGGCAGGTTTTTATTTATCAGGGGCTTATCTCCTGATCTACCTGATTAGAATGTAGAGTTCAAGGGTCTTTGGCTATCAGCAGCTTAATTCAGTCAACCTTAATTTTCTGGGCTTCTACTTCGATTGTTATAAATATCAACGTCATGTATGTTCCTAATTAAAAATTGGATTTTTTTTATTAGCACTTATAACTTCAAGAAGGATAGGCATATAGTAGCATAGGTGGATGGATGGATCCAAACCAAACAAAAGAAGAAGTGAATAAACTCTAGAGGTGCTAGACACAGTAAACTTATGCTATTACAACCCTCACTGGGCAAATCACAGCTTCAGAGAGGGCCTGTCCGTGATAGGCGGTCACTGGCATCTGAGAAAACATCTACACAACTTGATACCTCACAGCTTCAATGGTTTGACTTAATTTATTACATGCCCTAGAGGGCGCTGCTGGTCAAAGCGTTCAAATTTTTAAATTCATCTGCAGACCCTGATCGAGATAATTTTTATAGATGAAAAGCAAAATATACAGCAGCGCCCCTGCCAGGTAAACTTTTATGGAATGAGGAGGAAGAAACAGCCGGCCATATCATCTTCGAATGCTAAGCAACCTTTCAATCGCGTGAATACCACCATAACCTGGTGCACATGAAGTCGTAGGGAAATGAATTGTAGCAACGACAGTCAATGACCTACATGGTACTTCTTAAGGAAAGGATCGAATCGATTGCACTGAACTTAAGAATTAGTAAAGTACAATAAGCCAGAAGGTTGCAGTGCTTGGGGAGCGAAAAAACACACTTTCTATTATCCCTCATCAAATTCTCTTTTAAATAACGGGAGCAGGACTCTGGCGTTTTCTTAGGTAGGTTATGGTTTTGAATCAGTCAAAAAGTATTCCATCAACTAGCATAAAGGGTCATTAGAAACGAGGATGTAGTTAGTTTTGGGGGAATTGTTCTTCAACTTCCTTCGAAAGCAGAAGCGCTTGGCTCTCTGGGCGCTCGATTATCGCACTGACTTTCCAAGAGAATATCGGTGGCCGTGTTATTAGGGGCTCATATTTGCAACGCTGCCGGTCCTGGGTTCGAATCTCAACCCCCCCCGCATGGTTTTCCACTTGAGTATGAAACAAGTATTTTAAAGCGGTTTGACCTCACGTCCGCGACTTCCAACGGGTAGTTGAACGTCCTCCTCGTATGACAGGAATTACTTTAAGAGGCGCATTAGAGCGTAATATCATCAGCATATAAGTTGACAGAAATTGAGATTCGGCAAATCTTTAGAAAAGAAAACACGAATCAGACCCAGTATTGACCCCTGAGGAACACAGCTATAACGAAGGGAGATTGAAGTGAGTTGTTCTGTCCAAAGCAGACCTCTTTTGGAAGTATAAATGTACAATTTTGACTAGATATGCTGTAAACCTGTACTAATCATGCGCTAAAATATCCCGTATTGTCTTACAGTGTCAAAGGCCTTACTCCACCTTATGTACTAAGGAAGAATACTGTACTGAGCCCAGGACGTAAACCAAATCGTTCTTCCATTATTAGATGGTTGCGTAGATGTGTGGGTTTCAAGTCTTTTTATACTCTACTACCGTCTATTATTAATACGAGCTATGTCTGGTTCAGGAAGAATTTGGAAAATGTTGTTTTGGAAAGAACACGTCCTAATTGGACATCCGTTGCCATATATTTAGTATCAACTGCTGAATGTAATCTCACCTATCACAGACAAATATCTAAAATTACAAAATCCCGCAGGAACAATAAAATCCCTGAACATGACAACATTCAGAACATCCTTCTCAACAAATGTTCCACAAAAAGCCATAGTCCACCTATCAACTTCGATCAAATATTTATTCTTGGATTACTATACTCTATAGACCATGTGTTGAAATTTGACTAGCCCCCATACCAGTTACAGGCCTGTTAGCTACTTAGCTCTGATATGAAGGTATTCGACAGTGTTATGCTCACCCGCATCTTCCTATATAAAAACAGCATCATTGTGCCGTAGCCGTTTGGTTTCAGGCCAAGACTACCTACCACTGCCAATTAGCCAGGAGATGACAACGCTTTGGTGTCAAAAAACTCTTTTTTTTGATAGATATCCAAATGGCTTTGATAGTGTTTGGCATAATGGTATGGTCAGTGGGATGATGGAATATAGCTTCAAACTATATAAAAATAGTCCACTCCTATCTCTTATTTACCCAGACAATTCAGAGTTATCTTCCTGAGAGACATGGTTGCTGGTGTTCCTCAAGGAATCCTTGGACCCAATTTGTTCCTTTTATATATCAACCAAATACCTAGCCCTAAAAACGTAAAATTGGGTCTTTACGTTGACGATTTAGCTCACTACGTTTCTTCTTGGATAGGAGAATATATCAAACAGGTTGGCAACGCAATGCGCTGCAAGGAAGTTTCTCTAACCGTTGGAAAATTAAAATGAATAATAATAAAACGAAGGTATTCAGCAAGCAGCAACTGCTCGGATACAAGTCGGTGTACCACATGGTTTCTTCGTCATCGCAATTTTGTCCTCTAATTCGAATCCTACCCAATCTTCGAAAAAACAGCCTTGCCATCCACAGTACATCAACAAAACCGAGATACCGAGTTACATTCGAGGCAAATTAGGACTTGTCGTAGATAGCAGGCTGACGTGGAATCCCCACACAAGACGTAAGAGACAATGACTTAGCAGAAGACTTGGACAACTACGAATACCTCTAGGAACGAAAGTAAAAATTAAACTAGCATTACGCAAGAGTTTTCCTGCGACCAATTTGGTCATATGGAGTGGAACTGCGGGGTCCTGCCAAGCCATCCAACATCCACCGCATCCGATTCTTCCAATGAAAGTCCTCAGATAAATTTAGTCACTATCCACATTTACCCATTCCTTTTTGTCAATGAATTGATCCAATCCCGATTCAAAAATTTCACACCAACTTCTCGATCCATACTAACCCTACTTACTGCTCAAGACATCTCGATGGACTCGAGACCTCCTTGCCTTTAGAGCAATGGCTGGCTTCTCGTGGTATTTGTCCTCCTTGAATTAGTGTGGAGGGACACAGTTGTATTCAGTTGAACGGAGTTCACGTATTAAGTACGGTGTTACATCAAGCGATATATTCTTATACATGGTCGGTGGTTTTTGTGTAATACTCAACGTATTCGCGACGGTGATCGAAATGAATTCCATTCCATGGCGCCCTCCTCCAGATAAAGGGTTGCAAAAAGCATTCTCGCCATAGTTTGAATAGTACTAATGCAATAATGATAAAAGAAACAATGGCAAGACCGGTGAAGCGGTTGTTTGGCCATGGCACGGAGGGTGGTTACGAAATTTTCCTCGGATCACCGGGGTAGATGATACGAATACATATTCAAACCTAAAGATTCTTTACGGCTTTCCCAACCGGAATTATAAGGCCATCAATTATAGAACTGGCTTTCACCTTCATCGAGTAGATTTTGGCATTGGCGCCGGTCAGTCTCAGCGAGTGTTGACGGACGATGACTGGTTCCAGCGCCAGTTCGAAATTTCCCCTTTTTTCGGAAAAAACACCTATCTCACACACAGTCACATATATACTTTCACTTAAAGACAGAAATAAGCAGTAATTTATTCCAATAAATGGACAGGGTGCCGCGTACTCTCTCTTTTTAACTTGGAGACACGCGAACCCACTCTCCATACCAATCTCGCTTTCTCGTCCCCACGCTCCAATTCAAAACGAACTTCTTAATTGTGCGTGTATTTGTTCTTGAATGTGTGTGGAGTCTACTCATGGCCCCATGATGATGATGATAATGATGACGGAAACTCAACTTCCCAAGCACTGCAGCCTTCTGTCTTATTGTACTTTTCCTAATTCCTTACTTCAGCTAAATCGATTCAATCTTTCTCTAGTTATTGACTGTCATTCTTTCCCCTGGGTCTTTTTCATATGCTAGGCCATGTCTCAGTTTATCGGTTTATCGAAGATAAGAGTGACAGTTTCGACCTCAACACAGTATAACTTACATCATGTGTAGGTGTTTTCTCAGATGCCGTGACCGCTATATAGTCCCACCATTCTCTAGTAACAGTGTGGTTCCCTGTTTTGGTGAGGGTTCTTTAATCAATTCTCTCTGGTATTCGCCAACTATATTGTGAGAAATCTCAAATTTTCCTTGTTTTCCCGAAACGCTTCGTCATCAGCCCAGTTCTCTTTTTCATTGCACAGAATTCGTTTGGGTCCTAGCACCCAACATATAAGGTTGTTGTGATTCAGGTTTTGGATCCACTGATTACTTTAGATCTGACCTTACAATATAGTGCTTTCATGGCTTACCTAACTTTGATACTGGACACCCGTTGGAATGGGATATTCGAGCTCGTGTATATCAAAAAGGACTGTCATTATTCATCTAATCCGAGCTCCTGATACAAATTAACTATTGGTAAATGAACACTTATAATACATTCTTTACAGCATCCTACAAAGTCTCAACGGACTATTAAGGAGAGGAAGAACACAGGAGAGTACTAGATGCATTGATATGGTATACAGATGGCTCCAAAACAAACGAAGGAACCGGATCGGGCATCTTCTGTACAAGCCTAAAACATGAACACAATCAAACTCGTTAGGGAAGTCGGTATCTTTCAAGCAGAAATACATGCCATCAAAGCTTGTGCCTTAAAACTGGCAAAAAAATCCTCGAGATTGATAGCCATGAAATCACACCAAAATTAGTG